ATTTGGATGAAGAATATGGACTGATGTGAGGAATTGGAAGTGAATGAATGAAATTTGCGTGATGCTATTCAGATAATTATGTTAATTTCTGATGAACCATGAATGGTGTGAGGTAGTTGTGAGACTTTAATGAGGTGGAGGTGATAGTAATGATGGTGCAATGCTGTTTGTAGCAGCATTAATTGTTGGACTTGGTTAGGTTAGGAAGAATATATGCATATCTCACTGGTGCTGTTCTATGAAAAGAGTGTCTGCTTCTAGGGATTTGGGTTTTCAGCTTTCTTTCACTAAATCATTTGACCCTCAATTTTCCATTTGCTATTTCTTGTGTCCTAACAAAGGAAACAGATTTCAGCTTGTATAATTCCCTGCCTATGTACGGTTCTCCTGTTTTAATGCACTTGAAAGGATCCTCCCAACTCCAAACTTCCGTACTAACCAAAAGCTTCAAAACGTAAAAAGGTGGGTGACAAAAAGATGAGAGAGTGGGTGAAGATTTTATCTTATTCGTTTGAATTTTAGTTACTGCTGATGCAGTTTGTGAATGGGAAAGGAAAAGGTAGGGAAATGTGAATAAAATGTAAGTTAAATTTGTTCTCCATTTCTTTTGCTTTTTTCTTTCCCTTTCCAAATCCTTACTCAAATTCATGACCCAAACACAACTTAAGCGGGAATAATGGAAGGGTTTACGTGGAGACATTAGCCGTTACTAGATAATAGAGGGCTGATGCTGTTGGGCCCTGCCACCCTGGTTAGTTTCGAAACATTGCTATTCATTTTACATGTTTCTCTAGAAATTTTATTTGATATCCTAACCTGATTGCCAAAGACTAAAAAGTCCTAGATGGAAAGCATTACTCAAAAGCTAAATGTAATTTGTCTCGTGTTTGGTGGTTTTCTCTCCCACATAGCTGGTCTCAATCCTAGAGAAAGGAAGATTGTGGTGGACAGCAAATATAAGACTTGCAGCCAATGTAATAGACACCAACCAACCACTATCTTAGCGTTCGCTTTATGTCAAGTTTAAACCATATATGCTGTATGGTTGTTGTTTTGCACACCAAATATAAATCATTACTAAGACCTTAATTCAATAGAATAGTGATTTAGTTTGGGTATCAATCCACAGGGACTAAAAGGCTAAGTTGTTTAAATATTAGCAAATCAATTCTTAATTAATTCGAATGAGATTAATATTTTGATTTTAATATAAAATTAACTAAATTATTAAACAAAAAGAAAGATTGAGATGGAATTTAAGTAGAAAATCCATCTTTAATCTCGTAACAAGTAATTAATATATCAAATTCCAGTAAATCAATGATTTGGACAATACATTAATTCAAGTTACTTGATTAAGACTTCTTCTCAATCCCAAAGAAGAAGATTAGCCGCTCATGGTTGAGGTGGAAAATCTCTTCTCCTTGCATCTCTCCACTTTTCTCTAGAATCCGCAATAACCCTAATGATCGATAGGCTTCTCTATTTATAGGCATAGGACACATCTAAATAATATCTAAGAGGCTAGAATTCTCCAAAATAAAAGGAAAATTCGGATAGAATTATTCCTAGCTTTTTTTGACTCATCTTGTAGATCCATTTTGACCTAGTAAATGTCAGAATTAGAGAATTTCTATTTCACACAAAATTGTAGCCTTTTAAATTAGCTTTCCAACTCTTCTGGATTCACCTTAATCCGATATCAGATGAGAGATATGCCCAAATTACTGAATGTTGTGTAGAGTGACTCTTCTAGTGGAATTGTATCAAATTGAACTTTTATTTATTCAAACTTCATGGGTTGGGTTTTTCTTGCTTGATTAAAATTATTTAGATTCTTCTTGGCCTTTAGAGTTGAGTTGGAGCTTGGTCTCGGGTTTCAAATATGAAATTAAGTTCAATCTCTATTCATAAGCTTGAGTGAGATATGCCCAAATTACCAAATGTCGTGTAGAGTGACTCTTCTAGCGGAATTGTATCAAATCTAACTTTTATTTCTTCAAACTTCATGGATTGGGCTTTTCTTGCTTGATTAAAATTATTTAGATTCTTTTTGGCCTTTAGAGTTGAGTTGGAGCATGGTCCCGGGTTTCAAATATGAAATTAAGTTCAATTTCTATTCATAAGCTTGAGTGACCTGCACATTCACAAACATATTAAAATCATCAAGTAACAATGATTAAAGGACCTAACAAGTATACATGTTTGGTTGGACGATTTGAAAAGAGATTTGGAAAGGAAAAGAGTAATAGTGTGTGAAACTAGATGAAATGTATGTATATTTTATTCGCATTTCACCTACCTTTTCCCCCCACCAAACACAGCGTGAGAGGCCTAAATGTATACATTTCGGCAACTATCACTGTATATAATAAACTGAGGTCAACACCCTCCATCCATGGACCGTTCTTCTCCTGTCTCTTCCTCTTTTAGCTTTCTTCTCCTCTCTGCTATGTGGCATGTGCCATGACTATCTCTGGCACCAGCCACCGCAATCTCTCTGCAGTCTACACTTCACACACACCCTCTACCTATACAAAACTCAAACTCATCCTCATCTTCTCAATTAGATGATTCTCTATGTCAACATGCACTTAGGGACAAGCCATGGATCTGATTCATAGCTCTCCTTTTATTTTCTTCACTGTCTTGCTTTTCTTGGCACTCTTTATAGTTTTACAAGTTCTGTTTCTCACTCTTAAGCTCCATCTTCAGTAAAAATGTCCCGTTCACCCAATCAAAAATCCTCCCATTCTCAAAGCAGAATAGAAGCAATTATAGTTTCATACAATATCTAATTGAATTATATGTAATGATCAATAAATTCAATTTAATTTTGTATCTATACGTGTCAAAATCCTAGAAACAATCTAATCTATTCTTAGATGGGTGATGGTGTTGCTCGTATTCATGGTCTTGATGAAGTAATGGCAGGTGAATTAGTAGAATTTGAAGAGGGTACAATAGGCATTGCTCTGAATTTGGAATCAAATAATGTTGGTGTTAAATCATTGAAAAGCTCACATTTCTAGCCCATCCTGTTTTGGTAGTTCGACTGCGGAATTTCTTTGTTTCTGTATTTCCATAATATGAGTGTGTGACTGGGAGTTCTCCTTCCACCCTTTCCCTTTCATTATATCTGTAGAAAAAAAAAAACAAAAGAAAAATGAAAAGAAAAGACTGGGCAGTAGCTTAGACTCATTTCCTAGGTGCTTGCGGTTAATTTGACTACTATGATTGAGATAATGAGATTGCTGATCTGGATCTAGGAAGCATGGAAATGGACACAGATTAGGAAGACGATGATTTTAAAAATTAGGATGCAGACACAGTTATATTTTTATCTTCTATGTATATAAATATTAAATCAATGAACAACTTATTATTATTTTTTAGGTAAGTAAAACAACTAAAATTATTGAAAACTACCACTACTTATCATAAAAAATAAACTAAATCTACATACTATCTAGAGACTAAACCTGTGTTGCATTAGGCTCCAGGGATTGTTAGAAGCTAGTCTTCACTTCACAACTATGAGTAGGTTTGTGTTGCATGAGTTCTATATATATATATATATTTTTTTTTTTAAATTCAACTCTTATGCCTCCAAATATTATTAATTTTTGAAAAATTAAAATAAGACCCCACCACCTTTTTGAAGTGCCTGTGCTTCATAGATCTGGATTTGGTTTTGAGATGTTCTTTTGGTTTTAAATACCGTAACGTAAGTTTAACTCCTTGTAACTTGGGGGAAGTTTAACCAATTTTCATGTTAACATACATCTTAATGAAAAGAGAGGCATAAATTTGTCATATGGTGAAGAAGTAGATATGGTATAAGAGAGAGGAGCTTAACAGAATTATAGGCTCTGTTTGGTGGAGTTCTGGAACGTTAGGTTTAAAGCTTGATTTGAACATGGTGTTTGTATATGATTTTCAAAAATCAATTCCACACTCACTTTTGAAAACGCGGTCGAAGGCGAAAAAATTTGGGCTAACCGGTCGTCCGGCCAGTTGACCGAAACAATGCAATTTTTTTTTTTTTGCAATTGACGCATGTTAATTTTTATATATTCAATAAAAAATATTTTCTGAATTTTTAAAAAAAATTTATGAGCTTTAATAGAATTTTGAGTTGTGTGTTTGGATATGAGTTGTAAGTTTTTGTATCAAATATCATATGTCTAGGGCCGGCCCTGGCCGAAAGCCAGTAAGGCCGGTGCCTTAGGTCTCAAAATTTTGACCCAAAAATAGGGCCACCAAATTTAGTAAAATGTTATAGACTCGATCTTTCTTTTTTTTTAAAGGGCCCCAAAATGTTTTATTGGGCCCATGTATGGTTTAGCCCATATTTATTTATAAGTGTAGTTTAGCTCATATTTATTAAAATAAATATATATTAAAAAAAATGTTTGGGCCCAAGAAAAACAATACATACAATATATGGACCCTAAATTTTTATTTTTTTTTGCCACCTTTATCTATTAGATTTTAGTGGAATAAATAATTGTCTCAATTTTTTTACCTAGTTTTTTATCAGTTTTAATTGAATAATTTTTTCCTAATTTTTTTGACCTAATTTTATTTTATTAAATTGTTTTGTTTATAATTTTAATGATTATATGTGCAAGTAAATTTTTTTGTGGCTACAAACAAATAAAAAAGTTGTAACTTATCGTTTTATCCATGAACTTTTTTTTTTTCAATGTAAGAGGAGTCTCTATTTCCGAAATTCGCCTTATGCCCCCTAAATCTTAGGCCGACCCTGCATATGTCATATCAAAAATTCTCCACTCAATTCAAAACTCTTTTCAAAACTCATTCATCAAACAAATTTTTCACTCAAATTATAATTCCAAAACTCACAAACTCAAAATACAACTCTATTCTCAAATCATATATAAAAAACTCTATCAAACGCAACCATAATTATTCTGTAACATCCTGCCTTTCACTTTCCTATATCTCTCACTTCGGTTTTGTCATTTTTGTTGTAGATTTATCTGAGCAGGAAAGTGCCCAATCAGATCTTGCAGCGTTGAATTGTGAAAACTCCAACAGCTACACAACTTCTATTTGTTCTTCATGTGGTCGGAGTCGGTGTTTTTGGTGGTTTTTGTGCTGATGGTGGCTTCTTCTCTGCCTGTATTTGCAGGCACACCTGTGCTACTATAATTTGCGTTCTGCTTATTGGCCTTTTCCTGATTTTGTTCATCCTTGCCAATGGCTTTTTATATGTTCTCTTCCTGATTTGAAGTTTGTATGTGAATTTAACAAAGCTATAGTGAATGGAGAAATGGATTGTATGGTGTTTTGTTCCATTTGCTCATAGACCAACCAGCTGAATCTATGTTTTCTGCTTGAAATCCAGAAATTATTGAAAATAAAGCAAGTAGTTTGTGAAATTGCAAGTTCTTGTCACATTGAGGTGGCCACATGCCAGTTTGGCATAGGGAGCCAGCGTGGCACCCATGAAATCACATTTTGAACTTTGCAGTTTCATTTAAAATGAAAGTCGCATGGTAAACCTGTGGTTTTATACTGGTTTAAACTGGCATCATAGAAGAGCAAAATATTTTTCTTATTTGCCAAATCACTCCAAGTTCCCCGCAATTCTTCAAAGACGTACTTGAATTGCCACTTGGGAAGGAAAGATGAATAACCACTTAAAGAACATATATGCCTAAAAGTACAATACCATTTCTTTGTGCACGTTAAAATTTTAAATGTTTATAGGGTGTGTTTGTTTAAACGGACTGAATAAGAGGAGATTATAATTCATCGGACTGTTAGTCTTGCGATACATTGTCTTTAGACTATTTGGTTGGACTAGATTTGTATCTTATGTTTATTTAGTCATGGGATTAAATGTCTGGATTGGATTATTTTTAGTGAATCTAATGTTTGGTTAGACGGATTGGATAAGAATAAATGTTTAAAAGATTATTTTACCCTTGTAATTTATAGTTTTTATTTAATATATAATTTTAAATTTGTAATCTATAATTTATAATTTGACAACACTAAATTTTTTTAATTTATTATTTTTAATTAAATTAAATTTATAATTTATAATTTATATTTTTTATTTAATATATAATTTTAAATTAACAGTGCTAAAAAAATAATTTTATTTAATATATAAATTTAATTTTTTAACAACACTAAAAAAATTATAAGGCCATAATTTTTAATTTATTATTTTTAATTAAGTTTAATTTATAATTTATAATTTATAATTTATATTTAATATATAATTTTAAATTAATAACACTAAAAAAATAATTTATAAATGTTCAAAAGACTATTTTATTCTTTTTTTAATGTTTATTAAGTAATAGAATAATGGTAAAATAGACATTTCACACATTAGTCCCATGAGATTACAATCTCATGGAAATAATCCCACCCCTCCGATACAATAATCTCTCATATGAGGGACTAATAGTCCAGAAGGACTATTAATCCGGAGCAAAAAAAATTAAACCAAATAATAGACTATTAGTACAGATGAACTAATAGTACAATCCCATGAAATAATCCTTCAAAACAAACACACTCATATGCTATGATATATACAGGCAATGTGCTTCCATTCTTCTATGCCAACGAGGCAGTCTTGTAATCGACAACGGCAAATAGTATGTCGTTCCTTTTGCCATGTATTCATGATGGGCATACCAAACCAGTCCAAAGTCACATCTCATACAAGTTATTGGATCTGCTGATAGCCCAAGGCCATCGGCACACGTTGGCCAATGCCGTTGCAATGCCAATACCATTCAAGGATGTGACTTTCGAGTTATTGGATGTGTTGGCACATGTTGGCCAATGACGATTGCAATGCCAATGCCTTGGATGGGATGGGATTTTGGATTGTTTTGACGTGTCTATTGTTTTCATGTAAGTTGTTGAAGTTTTGTCAATGTTGTTGTTACTCTCCACTACCAAATGACTTAAAGATAATATAGAATCATGCTTTTGATCTGGCTCTTACTATGAACTGTATTTTTAACTCATGAGTAATTCAAATGTCATTTTTTTTTTGGTTACATACCAAATATTTAGATGTTTTGAGTAATTTTTACTTAGATACATATGGTTGATAAGTGATTTTACCCGCTAACGAGAGATCTAAATCACCCCCACGTCACAGTTTGAAAATAAATAATAATTAAAAAAGTCCGAGGCAACATTGTGTGACCCCGTCAAACAATAGTCAATCATAGGTTTAAAAAAATAAATAAATAAATAAAGCCAATCATGATTGTTGTTTAGTTAAATTATAAATAGGTCATAATAGTTACGCGATTCTCATCAAATTTTATTGAAAATAAATCTTAATAAAATTATAGTTAAAAATAATTCTTTTGATATTTTTTGCATGTCGCTAAAAATTAATAATTAGTGACTTTTCTGTTACAATTTTTTTATAAATTGTGACTAAAATTTATAATTAGTGACATTTTTCATTGACGAATCTTTTAAACTGTCGCTGAAAGTTAAACATTAGAGATTTTTTTATGATAATTTTTTAAATTGTCACTAAAACTTATTAATTAGTGACATTTTTATGACAATTTTTAAACTGTCATTAAAAATTAATTATTAATGACACTTTTTTTAATAATGTTTAATAAAAAATATTATTAATTCTCACCGAACCTATTAAATAATAACCCCCTGCAACCTATACGTAAATTTTACTTATTTTTTTAATAGCAGTAGTCAAGCACGATTATACTTCTCAGGAAACTTCCCAACAGCAATCCTTGCTTGGTGACCAATGCACGATAGAAAAGAAAAAAACGAGTGAAAATTATTAAAAACTAGGCTATGTATGGCATAAGCTATTTGGGTTAAAATAGTCACATAAAAAAAAATTAAAAAGTTAATAAAAAAAATGTCACATTTAAATTATAATTATTTTATTTTTTCTCTTATAAAAGTTAAAAAAATCAAAAAAATTATCTCAAATGAGACTTTTTAACCCCAAACTAAAATAACTAAGAATTTAAAAAGCTAACACACATTTGAAACGAAGGCTATATTAGCAATTTAGTTAGAGAAGTATGTAGATTTCCTACTTGAAAAGTTTCTACAAATTAATAGCATATATGAGTTTTCAATAGTTTTAAGTCATTTTTTATAGAGTAAATTGATGATAAATCCAATCTAACGAGTATATGAGGTATTAGGTCTACTGGATATTTTTCATTGGCGAGAGGTCCATCATTTGTGAAATAGTTTGGTGAAAAGTCTTTTCATTGATTTTGGAGGACATTTTGTTTCTAATTTTATCCCTTAATTTATCTGTTGACTTTTCATTGACTATATGTTCAAATTTATATTTATCTGTTCAAATCATTTTTTATATCTTCAAATTTATATCTATTTGTTCAAATCTTTTGACTATTTGTTTAATTTTTCCCCTAATCTTTTCAAATATCTATGCAAATTTTATTATATGTTTAATTTTTTCTATCTGTCGAACCTATTTGTTCAAATTTTTATTTTTCTACTATCTGTTCACTTTTTTTTTTTATTTGTTAAAATAACAATTCATTTTTTTTACCTATTAGAAACATGCGTGATTTGTTTAAACAAAAAAATAAAAAAAAAAAAAATCCATCCTTTTTGTTTTATCTATTGAAATGAAACAACTCTATCTTCCCACCACCACCACCACTACTATCGGAGAACACACATGCCCACTCCACCACCACCAGCTACATCTATTATGTTATGACCCGACCCCAGGGGCTTAAGGTTGAAATCGCAACTTACTAACTCATTCTATTTGTAGCAAATTAAATTGCGCAAGTGGAAATAAAAATAATTAAACAGGAAATTACTTCATTTTACTATTTTAATAAGAGAAAATATATTTATAAAGCTTTTATTATTTTATTATTCAGTGACCGGCCTTGAATAGAACAAAAGGGAGCAAAAATATAAAAAGAAAAAAAGAAAAGAAAGACAAAATAGTGATTCAACATCAATCCACGTGCGGGTTTTATTTCATGAGATTATGGATTTTTCCTACATCTCGTCACCTGAAAGGGTAACAACTATAAGCACACAGCAGAGTGAGAAATATTATGCTAAAAGGATAGAGAATACAAAATAACCATGGATAGTTAGTTAAGCGAAAACATTTATATAACTCAATTTGGTAAATAAATCATTTAAGTGACAGAAATTGAAATACGGAAATTATATAAATTAATAACCATAACCACGGTACATAACAAAACAGAGCAGAGATCACAGAAGTGACAATCAGAACAGAGGTCAATGGATCCATGACAAACAGAGAACCACAAAGTGGCTAAACATAGCCCAATAATTATTTAAGTCTCCCAAGGCGTGGGCCTCCCGTAGTGGTACTTAACAAGACATAATTGTTTATAAGATCATAATCAAATATTTTTTAAAATTTAAACAAACATATCTATGGATTTCATTTAAACAAATAGAGTTTAGAAATTAATCCACGTAGTTGAAATATTTCTAAAACATAACTTGAATTAATATAACTTATAAAATATAACTTTTATAAAATAAATTATGGTATGTCAAAACATACGTAAAATACATTATAGTAACTTAAAATATAATATTAACTCACCTTAATATTAACTCTTACTATCTCCTTTGATTTTTTTGGTCTTTCCCTTACTCATTATTATTATTATTTTTATTTTTTATTTTTTTTTATTTTTTACCAACACTACAGGCCCTCCTATTTATATGCTAAGTTGGGTGATGACTCACCAATTACTTGATGACCTTACGTGATGACTCACCACCCCTAGCATGCACAGATGGCTCCACCTCACAATATATGCAAATCTTTTCATTTAAGAACAAATCTTGAAATAGATTTTACTTGATTTGTCTTAATTAATTCTATATTTTTCAATCTTCTTATATTAATTAGTGATTAATTTAATTCTCAAATAATTCTTTTCATCACATATTTGATAATCACAATAGTAAATTAATTCACACAGCACGTATAGTGTTACTTTTACTTTTATATTTATTTACTTACTATATTTAACTCAAATTTGGGCAAACTAGTATTATAATTCTATATTTCTATTAATTTAGCCCCAAATAATAATCCTTAATTAATCTCATATTTGATAACCCAATGCCAAATTAGATTATGTATTTATTATTATTTATTTAATAATATATTATCACATACACTCACAATTATATATAACTATAAGTATTTATGTGATATTCAATTAAACACTTAGGGTATCACATTTCCCCCATCCTAAATAAAAGGTTGTCTCCAAACTTGGCGTACCTTAA